AATGGGCTACTTTTCATTATAAAACTGATCTGGAAGCTACATTTTTATTTCATGTACATCAGCGGTGACGGGGGAAGAAACAGGCAAAGGGAAAATATACGTCACCAGCAGGAGAAGGACCTGGGACAAGCATTGCCTGTGCAGAACTGGGGATCATTCATAAGTCTGGCCTCCAAGACAGAAGATGGCCTAATGCCTCATTAAATCCTACCAAGCCAACGATGATGTATCATAGCTTTTCAATCTTCAACTAAGTAACGCATTTAAAAAAAAACTAATTTGCACATGTTTAATGCATTCATTAAGCTATTAGTCTTTCAACAAGAGATTTAATAGCAAATTAACAGTTTTTATGAAAGAAAAAAACAACAACAAAACTCCCCACTTAGTAGAATTACTTTTGTGTCAGAGCACAATGCAGGGTAATGGGCAATTAGGGGCTTCGGAGAGGAGGACGGGAAGATGGGTTTAATTTGTGTTTGGTTTATAATTAGCTGGTGTGTGGTGCTTAGAATGAAATGAAGTGGATCCCTTTGGTGGGTAAGGCACTGAGTGGGCTGGGAAGAACGGGGGGCAGACAAAAATGGGGGAAGGTGATGGTTGGAGCTGGAAGGAGTTGAGGATCCATAGCTGAGAACCGTTTTCACCTTGTGCATCTTTCCATACTCAGTGAGACTTCTGGGTGCTCGGAACCAAAGGATGAGTTTGTGGATGTGTGCTCTCAGCACGGTTCTGGTTGGAGCCTGCAGAGCTCTGACAAACAGCTGAAGGCCAACCTCTCTCAAAGCAAAGCTTTGTGCATCAGCTCTTCAGGAAGTTTAACGCTCAGTGAAGCTGCAGGTCTTGTTTTAAGGTGGGGCTTAAAGATGACCAAGTCGTGGCACTTGGCTTAATAATGATGGGTTGTGTATTTAGGTTCAGAGCTGGAATCCCCTTTGCAGGTGTGTGCCAGTGCAGACGGCTGGCACAGGGGCTATTTTGTGACTCCAGTTTTGTGTGATTCCCCAAGAAAACAAACCAATAAATCAGTAAACAAAATCATTAATGAGAATACTGAAATCCAGGGAAAAACTTTATTGAGAGAAAATGAACAATTGCAAACTCAAGTTGTCATCTGAACTTGCTGAAAATAAGTTCAATCCTTTCCTTGAAAAGGGAAGAAAGAAGCAGAGCTGTTTGTTTGCTTGTTTAATCTGAAATGCTATTTCTAAGTTTTCAGTTTCTTTGAAAAGATGCTTGTCAGAGTATTGAACACCAAATCCACAGGATTCTTGGTTTGAAGGGGTTTTTCTTTCCAGATAAACTTTTTTCCACTTAATTTTTTTTTCCAATCAGAATAATTCTTTAAGGGATCCTACACTGATTTTGAGCTTTGATTTTCAGCTGGAGTGAGGCAGAGAGAGGGAGAATAGTCTGAAATCAATTTCTTAGAGATCTGAGGAATCATAAATACAGCTTGGATCGATATGTTTGTGTGTCTGTGTCTCCCCTCACACACATCTATTCAAACAACTCCTTTCCTGGAACAGAATATTCCAATCCTTAGGGATAATAAATTGGCTTTCTGAAATGGAATATTAGCGTGAGGCGATGGATCCTTTATATCTGCTTTTCCAAGATGTTTCTCCCCACAGGGGATTCCTTCCTCTTGCTGCTATTGATTTTCATGTAGCTGCAAGCGCATTGGCATTCAGGACAGGAAAACACTCCTTATAAAAGCACTTCTGTGCAAACTTCGTGGGCTTTAAGTACCAGCCTGAAATTACACAGAGGTGCAGGCAGTGCAGCCACATCTCAGTGCCCTTCAATCTCTGCAGATAGGGCCAAGTTAATTCCTTGGATCACCACAGGCCCAAAGAGGAGTTCAGCAGCATAACAGTTCAGTGAGCCCCTTAGAGCTCAGGGCTGAACTACTTGCATCCTGGTGTGTTGTGTTCCAAATGCTGTTGTTCCAATATTTACCTAAGGTAATAGATAGCAGTAATAAGGCTTTGCACTTGTGCAGGTGATGCTCGGAATTACCAAACTGCAGCATAACCATATGCATCAGGATAGGTTAGGGGATGACCTTCTCTGGAGATAATCGAGAGCTGCCTGAACGCCTTCCTATGCAACCTGCTGTAGTGAACCTTCCTTAGCAGGGGGTTGGACTCAATGATCTCCAGAGGTCCCATTCAACTCCCTTGATTCTATGAGCCCTGGAGGCTGCAAGGAGCTCTGGAAGGTGCCAAGCAGCCCTGAGGATGCAGAAGAGCCTCCTCACCCCACCTGCAGGTTTCCCAGTGCCCAGGCAGTGTCCCTCAGCCGGACTCAGCCATGCCAGTTTTGTGTTGGGTTTTAGCATGGAGCAGCTTGGTGTGTGGGCTGTGCCTGCTCTCTGATAGCTTCAGAGATGTTCGTAGCTGCTCTGCTTGTTCTGGTTTTGTCAGAACAAAATTAATTACTCAAAGGATGGGGGAAAAAAATGTGTGTGTGTGTGTGCGTACGTTCAGGAAAGATTTCTGAAGTGCACCACAGGACTGTGCTGTGCTTTAAAGAGATATGGAGATGGGGTAATACTTCTGTTCTTGCTGCACAGTGAAGGCTCTGAATGAGGGAAGTATCACAGGGTAATCTGAGTATTTTGGAAACAGCACCAGCATCAGAGCTGTGCCCTGGATTTTCACTACGCGCTCAGTGGTAACAGAGCGAGCCTCCTGCCTGCTGGTAAGGCTGCTCAGACCCCACCAATGCACATTGCGGATGTAATATTGAAAAGTTCTTCTATCTGGTCTTCAGCTTTCTGGGATGAATTTCACATATGCAGAGAAATGCACGCAGAGAACCTCTGACTTCTACTTACCTGGTGTAATGGCTGATAAGCCAAACGTGCCCATTTCCCTCCTTACCCTGCTGCTATGGTCAAAGGTTTTTTAAAATCATTTTTAAATCATTCCACCCTCAAATCATAGAAATGTTTCAAACTTAATCCTGAACACTTAGCGCTGGGTGTAGGGGTGAAATTTGCCTAATGTACATCCTCAAAACCAAGCTTATATGGTGTTGATGCAGTTTCAGCTTCTGCAGTGGGTCACATTCCAGGAATTAAGTTCTCCCAGTCTGAATGAAGCTGCCTGTCACTGCCTCGGAGAGATCAGCAGCAAGAGCGATTGCACACACATGTCTAGAAAATCTGTCTACCTGTTATCCCTCCCCTTTGAAGCAAAAAGCTGGGGCTAGCACATCAGCCTGCTGTAATTGAATTTCCCTGCCTCGCGCATTATGTTTTATCAGGCTGGGCTCTCTTGGCTCGCCGTGATGACTTGGAGGTATTTGCATTGCATGGAGCTGCTGAGGAGAGTGGTTGAAAAATGGTGTGAAAATGCTGATAAATAGTTCTAAATGAAAGCAATTTTAGCAAGAGAGCCCGTAGGCGGCCTCAGTCTCATTTTTGGTGACTGCAACACTCCCAAGATAGAGCTTCCAGCAGAGCAGGCACGCACAGACTGAGGCTGCAGGAGCCAGAGCTTGGCCTGGCTTTGCCTCACTGCTGTTTGGGGCAGGTGGGTCAACTTATTGACCACATCCAAGCACCAAAGCAATGCTGCGCACCCACTCTTGGCTTTTCTTCTTCCCTGCTAGTGGGAAATAGGAAAGAATTTGGCGCTATCAGCCCTAGAGGACACAGCTTTGGCTCTTGGCGCTTTCCCACCAGTTGTACCAAAGGGAAAGGCAACAGCAGCCTTTAGCAGGTGTGCCTTGTCCCGAAGCAAACACCGTCAGGACCAGCAGGCAGCACACTGGGTTGGGTTGGGTTGGCTGCCCACCTGTGCCCGCAGTGCCCTGAGCACAGAGCATGTGTGAGAGCTGCGGTGCTGCCATCTCACGTGGCTGCCAGTACAGAAACCACGCTCATCCCCAGCCTGTTATTATTTGATATTAAGAGTCCGACCCATTTTTAAGTTATTTTGAGATGTGTTTAATATAAAATCAAACCTAAAGTGGTTCCTAGGCTTGCGTTAATGGAAGAGAGACAGAAACCTGAAACTAAAAGTACCTTTATTTTTTTTCCTACCTCCAAGTACATATGGAAATAGCTCACTCCAGCCCCTTGTACTTAAGGATCCATTTGTGCTGCTGCCTCAGCTCCTCCTGTGGAAGGCAGCGAGTTGAAAGAGTGATTTAGACACTGCTAACGCAAACGAGAGGAGACAGGCCAGTACTTAGCGCGACAGGCTCCTCAGAAAGTTTAGACAGGGAGAAGCTGTTTCTTTTCTCTCTGTCGTTTCCCTTTTGCAGCCTGCAGATGAGGATTTCATAGGAGAATAATTCAAGGAGAAGGAACCCCTAGGTAATCCGTCTCCAGACATCTGACAGTCCTTAAAGTCCCCATTCTCTGCAGAGCAGCAATGTATGTGCTAGCAGATGCTATTAGGACATGCAATAGAAAGAAAACGGTCCAGAATGAGTGACAATGCATATGCTAGAGATCCAGTAAAAGTATTCAACAGAGGAACTGAGGAAACGTGGAAATGAATGGGGCTGAAGGGTGATGTCCCCGCTGCAATGTTTTTGTATTCTAAAATGCTCAGTCCCCAATTAGTGGGTTTGATGGGGTACTGGAGGGTGATGTAACATGGCTTGTCCAGGCAGCCAGCTGGACCACCCTGAGGTCTGACTTTAGAAGGAGCTCTCCTTCTGAGTACAAAACCAAATGAGAGTTCAGATTCATAACGCCCGGATTAAAACTGAATGTAGATCACAGAATTTTCCCTACTGGTAGCACCACTCAAATCTGGATTTTTGTATGCACGTTTCAGTATTGGATCATGAGACAAGAAGTGGCTTTATTTACTAACGTGAAAGTCATCATTGTGCAGAGCACCAAGAAAGAAGCTGCTCTCTGCTTTATGTGCCTAGAATGTATTTTGGGTAAACTTAGGTAACTTGAGGACAAAAGTCTTTCTGCTTCCCTGTAGAAGAATGAATCTGACCTCAATATTCAACACTATGTTTTCCAGATAAACTTGACTTGTGTTATTGTGTCCATCATTTGGGTACACTGGAGGAATCACTCCAGTTCTGTTCAACACCTGGGGCTGCACGTGGACTTCTAATTAGAGTGAGTAACTTACAGATTTTTTTTTTTTCTCTTTCTGAGGCGTAAGATCATTCTCTTAATCCTAGAAATAACTCTATTAATTTTTTTCAATGTAACTGACTACATTAGCACAAGGGAGATGGCTGGAGATCGTAGGATAAAAGGCATCTATTGTGTAATTCTCTAGATTAAAGCCGTCAGGCAATGAGGTGGATTCCGAAAGTCAAAAGGATAAATGTCCTGTGACAAAACAAGATGAATAATTTCCTTTCAGTTTCAGTAAGGATGTTGATAGTGACCATGGTGTGAAAGCAGGGCACAAATGGGATGGTGTGTGTGGACATTTAAATCATTATAGCTGAGGTAGAAATAAAACTCAAACTGCTTGATGATGCAAGAGGTTTGATAATGAGATGATAATGAGGGGAAGAAATTGCTTTTATTTCTGATATCTGAAAGGACTGTTTTACAGAACGTTGGTGCAGAAGCAGGTTGATACTGTATTACAAAAGCATTGAAATCATGGCACATCTATTTTAGAGGGAAAAAGTGATCAAGGCACTTGTAAGTCTATTAGTGTGACCTCTGTAGTAGCAAAAACAACTTTGAAAGGCAAAATAATTAAAACAGTAAGATGGATCACGATGTGTTCTGCAAGAAAAGACCACAGAAGAATAATATGGTAACTATTTTCCAGCTAGTTGATGTGCTTTAGATCTGAATCCAAATAAGCTAGAAACATTTGATAAATGCAGTATGAGAAATACTCATTAAGGCAGAGGTAGGTAAAATGAAGTTAAATCAAATCAGAAGAGCGCTGCAAAAAGAGATGAGTTCTCCAGGAAAGGAAGTATTTCAGCGGGGCTGGTCAGTAATAAAGTTGTGGAAGGGTCAGTCCTGTCTGATCCGATTTCATATTCTCACTACTAATGGAAATGAACACAAAACACCAGTGACAAAAGACACTGGAAAAAGCCAGTGTTAATTGAATGGAATTTACTGGGCTGCTGATAACTGCTGGACAAGTGAACAGAAAAATCTGTGTAGGAAAGTGGTGATTATGAAACCAAGAAATACCTGGGTATCTCTGACCACCTTAGATCACTGAAGCAACAGTAAGTGGTGGAACTGTGGAAAAGGAAGCGTTCTCAGATACCTGAGGCAACACGTCTAATAAAACATGAGAAAAGCAAAGTTTTTTGACATTAATACCTGGTACCCCTTCATCTTCACTGCTGTGCTTTTCTAGACACCCTGCCCAGTGTAAACTGTCTCGGGGAGCAGCAGGCTCTGGGAAGGACTGATGGAATAATCAAGTGGATGGGGAGTCAAAGACCTGAGTTCTTTAGAGAAATAAATAACTGCTGTTGCTAAACGAGTGAGAGGTTTGTGGAGGATAAGAGGAGCAGAACAATTCAAAATGCCAGGGAAGGAGATGATCTGTTAAGCTCAAGGGTAGCACTGACACAAGAACAAATGAATGCCAACTAGCCATGATTAAATTTAAGCTGAAAAATATAGGCAGGCTTCTCAGAGGCAGAGAGGAGAGCTCTTCTGCAAAGACTTCCAGGAGTTGAGAAAACTTGAGATTCATCCCATCTAACTTTAGATACTCGGTGAAGGTACTTACCTTAGGGATTTAGTCCTACAAAACTACTCTGTAATTAATGTAAGAGCCTCCTCCAGAATGTGACTCAGATCTTAGGTGTGTTGAATTATCCTGGAGATGTCTCTCCTTCACTAGAAATCCAAGGAAGCTAGTACTGACTGCTGTACCTTGGTTAAGTCCCTCAAATATGATGGATGATTCTCCATATGGAAAGGATCAGTTTACTCCTAGACAAAGACTGATTAAACAGTGCTATGGAGCAGCTACTTACCAGAGCAAAGGCATCGATTTGAAGACCCAGTTCTGTTTTGCATCAGCCTATTTCCACTTACATCTGAAGCCCAAAAATATTTCAAAAGGAGGTTTATGCTGCCAGGCTGTGCTTGGTGTTATCTTCAGAACCATGTACAGCCTCTGGATTCTGACTTGACTTCTACAAAAGTTTCAAGTGTCACTGGAAATCATGGGAAGTTTAATTCTGGGAAGAAAGATGGGTTGTTCATAGTGCCTGTGGGCAATAGTTTTGTCTCTGTTGGAGAAGAGGCAGGATTATTGACTTCTAGATTTATTAAAACAAATTTTCTTAATTTTGCTTTGATTGATGAGCTCTTTAATAGCACGAGTTAAGCTGTCCAGATATTCTGAATTTCTTATACTATCCCCTCACTGTTTTACAGTGTATTGTGGCCTTCTTTATGACATATAATAGTGTGTCTACATTAGCAGATCTTCTGTTGTACACTAGTTGTTATATCTTGATCGTAAAGAAACAGCCTTTCCAGGTCTCTTGCTGATCTGTTTCTCCATTTCATAAAGTGGTACTAATTTCAAGACATTTGAAATTAGACAAGAAAATGGAGCCTGGAAGGTGACGTGGCTGCTGGTGGGGGTGAGGAGGAGAAGGAAGCTTGCTAAATACTGCCCTTCCAGGGATCCTGCCATTAACTGATGCATTATTTTTCTAAGCTCATTAAATAACCCTTAGAACTGTGAAAAGGTCAAGAGAGAGGGGAAGGAGCTGAAGATGCCTGTGGATTTTGGTAGTGTTGCCATTTCTAAGCAAGCAAAGGAAGGGAGGAGGATGAGGAGGTAAGGATAGGGATAAGGAATGAAGTGTTTTTTGTTGATCTTTGCAGCATTGCCACCTCCCTCCCTCCCTCTGAAGGCAGTAACAGCATTTGCCCGAGATGCTGAAAGCCACAGATGAGGCTTTCAGCAAATTTTGTCCTTCCTCTCTACCCGATTTGCTTCATTTCTCCCTACAAAATGCAATTCCTGGGCTCACCTCTGTGCTGGGGACAAAGAGAGAGTGCCAAGTGCAGAGACCCAAAGAGAGAAATGATCGCAGGGAAAATTACCAGTTGTTTCCTCTCTGTTCACCTGCCTCGAGTGGTTCACTTAATTAACAATGCAAGTGTGAGCTGACAGATTTGGCAGAGAACAATAATGCAGTGGGAGGTGATGGAAAGTAGTCTTGCTGGGAAAGTTGTTCCTGGTTTATAAATACACCTGATTATTACAGAGTCGCCCATTAATGACTCTGTAGTTTATAGCAACATTCCCTGTTCCCAGCCCTTGTTTTCATGGTGTTATGCAAAGGTGGCAGAGTTCTTCTCTGGGAGGTGAAATTCATTTTGCAGTGCAGCTTTGTTTTCATCCACTGAGCATTTAAAAACTAAAACAGATAGAACCCACCTGGTTTCCTATGGGCAAGAACATTAGATAAAGGTGGGTTTCAGTCTACACACATAGGAAATGTCTTCGTTTTATTCTTGGATCAAAATATGAGTCGCAGGAGGCACCAGGCTCAGGGTGGTTGTGTCCTTGGCTCTGAAGGGCCGGGGTGAAAGGAAGCCTGGTTCTGCTCTCCTTTACTGACAAAGATCAGGTTCTACTCCAGCATACTCCAGCAAGTCAGAGAATTACAGTGGAGGAGAAAAATCAACAGCAGGAAACCAGATGAGTAACCAGCTGAGCAGCTGAGAAGTAGGACACGTAAACTAGAATGTGTGTGATTTTCCCATAAAATTAAAGCGTTGTAGATGGAAACTTAACCTACCATCTAAATATTAATGCTTTGTAAAGTTTGAGTGTGAACTCTATAATTTAGGCCAACGTTTAACTGGGGAAAGAATTGAGCTGGCTTTGCTGAGCTGAGAGAGAAACCACGTGTGACCAGGCAATGCAGCCTAATGAGCTGCAGCTTTCCCTACCAAAGCTATTCTTCTAGTTTCATGGCTGATTCTAGTAGTCCTGGTCACAGGCTGTGTGGGACCTGACCCCAGGAAAAACCCTCTTCCCTTTTTTTTGGCTCAGACCTCAGACCCTCATTTGTATCTGCTCTGTTTCTCCTGGGTCTGTCTGGGTCTGTTTCTCCTGGGGCTGTCAGTGGGCTCTACAGAAGCAGCTCATCCTCAGTTCTCCTTGCACCAGTTATACCCAGACCCCAGTGCAACTCGCTGTTTGCAGCCAGCCCCAAATTGCAGTCATAGCCAAGATGTACTCAGTGCCATGGCAGGAGGTCAGTTGTGGCTGCATCCATTGCTGTGAGATGCAGAAGTTGTGTTCTGGTTGCTTTAGAAAGCCAGATCCTGTTTGGGAGCACAATATGCAAGAATGCCTGAGGTAGAAAATCAATTTTTTAGACTTTTTAATGGGTCTGTCTTCTAAACCCATTTGCAGGATATCCAGATATGCAACTCAAATGCCATCCGAAGGGATATGAGGAAGAATTTCAGGCAAGCTCAGAGGTCTCCAAACCTACTGATGCTCTGGGGACCTGGGGTATGCCAAGCAGGTTTACCTGTTTACAGAGCTCTTCTTCAGCTACTGCAGACAAATTCCCTTGAGCAAAGAAAATGTTTCCTTTTAATTGACTCTTGTTTCTTACTTGTGAAAGACAAAATCCAAAAGAAAACAAGCAGACAAAAATTAAAAAACAAACAAACAAAAAAAACCCACACCAAAATATCAACAAGTCAAAGTTTTAAATTGAACTGGTAGAAATATCAAAGGCAATGCTTTCAGAAAAGTGTCCGATACTTTAAATACTGTTCATGATTTTAATACGAGACTAAGGTGAAATGTGAAGCTGGTATGTGGGGTTACCAAGTGGTGAGAGGGCTGTAGGTCTGTGATGCATTGAGTAAAGGACATCATTAGGGTTCACTTCTCAAAGAAACTCCCCTGCAAAGCCCATCTGTCTTCCCCTCTCCATGTGGCCCAGGGAGGTTCATCAAGTAAAGCCCTCATGCAGCGTGTGCATGGGATTCAGCACAACGTCGGCCTTTGTCAAAAAGGTGTTGCTCAGAAATTCTACACAAATAAGAATCCAATTCTTTGGATTTTGTATGAAAAGAATACTGAGCGCTGTGACATTCAATATCTTTTTTGCTTTTTTTTCTTTCCA